TGATTAACATGAAACACTGAATCAACTAAAGAAAAAAATAAAATATTTTCAAGCACTGAAACAGGCTGCTCAGTGAAGTGGTTGAGTCACCATCCCTGAGCCAGGCAAGCAGAACATGACATCTACCAAGGAGAGTGTATTTATTTGTTATTCTAAAAATAATGAAAACGGTGTGTTTGGTTTGAGGTTCATATTCAGTGTTATCCTACACCTTTCACTGCCCTTATTCAGGAAGGCCACCAGACTTAACTTTGAGTATTAGTGACCTTAAGCTGAGAATTCATTCCGCAGCCATAATGAATTGGAAAAAAAAAGCCAAATGCTGAAGATCATGCTTTGAGTTGAAAAGGATCTTTAAAGGTCATCCAGTGCGATCTCTCCTGCGATGAGCAGGGACATCTTGAACTAGATCATGTTGCTAAGAGCTCAAGGTCCAACCTGACCTTGAATGTTTCCATGGATGGGGATTGGTCTGTCTCCCAGCATGTATTGGCCTCCAGGATTGCCCAAGCCAGTTGTGACATCTTTCACTTGGTTTTGTTAAATCTCAGGATATTCCCATGGGCTTACTTCTCGAGCTTGTCCATGTCCCTCTGATTGGCATCGCATCCTTCAGTTGTGTCAACTGCACCACTCAGCTTGGTGACATCAGCAAATTTGCTAGGGTGCACTCAGTTCCTTTGTCTATGTCATTAAGAAGATATTAAATAACACTGGTCCCAACATGGACCTCTGAGGGATTCCACCTGTCACCAACGTCCATCCAGCCATTGACCATTACCCTGTGGATGTGACCATCCAACCAATTCCTTAGCCACAGAACAGTTCACCCATCAAATCCATCTCTTTCCAATTCAAAAAAGTTGGGGATCCTGTCAGAGGCTTTACCATAGTCCAGATAAATAACATCTGTAGCCCTTCCTTTGTCCACTGATGTAGTCACTCCATCATAGAAGGCCACTGGGTTGATCAGGCAGGACTTGCCCTTGGCAGAGCTGTGCTGGCTGTTCTTAAAAAACAATTCTCCACACTCAATCCAGGTCTTGGTGTAGAGGGCAGCCGCACCACCTCTCCTTTCTCCCCTGTCCCTTCCTAACAGTCATTGACAGTCGCATTCCAGTCATGGGATTCATCTCACCATGTTTCAGTAGTGGCAGCTAGGTGATAGATTTCCAGCAGCACAGTGGCTTCCAACTCCTCCTGTCTGCTTTTGTGTAAAGGCACCTCAGCTGAGCTGTTGGCCATGTCATCTTCCTAGAGAAACATTCCTTAATTCCTGTAAGATATTTCACTGGTGTTTCCCTGTCAGAGATCTCAGCCAAGAACAAATTCACCTTGCAGTTGCTTATACTTCAGTGGACTATGCCAAGACCATGCTGTAGACATTTAGCTGGCTGCTGACAGATGTCCCCAGCAATAAGAATGAGGAGAATCTGCCGTAGAAGTGTGACTCTGCCATTTTTCATCAGTCATTCATCAGGTCACCCCGGTCCTCCAGCAAATCCTGCAGGAGCCATGAAAGTTTCAATCAAGACCATGAAAGTTTTAATCAAAGATTTGAGGCACACACTGAAAAGATGAGATAATATTTGAATTCCTGTCGTGGAAAAAAACAATGTTCATTTTCCAGTTTTTGTTTGGTTGGATTTTTTCCATTTCCTTATAAAAATGCAACAATCCCTTTGTGGTTTTGGTTAGTGATGTGGTTTTGCAGATATATAGCTATGGTATATTGCTGTCTCTGGCTCCATGAAGATCTCTTTCCTAGGTGCTACCATGTTAGAGACTGTGTATTATGTGGTACTTGTCAGCACTGAATTTCATTTATCACATTATCACCTCTCATAACATGCCAGAGATCCTTCTGGAACTCTGCAGCTTATTTTTCTTTTCACTGTCTTGAATAATTCTACATTGTCATCACATTATTTTCACTACATTTTAGGAATACTCTCAGCAGCACTGGTTCTTCTGGGTCATTGAAAACCATTTATGGTCCCCTTACTGTTAAATTATTAAAACAAAATATAAAACCCCTTATCCCAACAAAACTCAATTTCTGTAGGGATCTTTAGTGAGTGACCTATGAAAATCTTGTGGAAAACCCTGTACACTGTAAACTGGAGGACAATTCATGACATGCTTGTAGACGCTACCAAAGAACACACAAAACCTTCTTTACAGCACATCTTATTTATCACCAGCACTGCTGTTCCTCTCAGTTTAACCAGCACTGTCAGACTTGCCCCACTGTTCCCTAAATGCCTCCAAGATTCCTTTAGAAATACAACTCACATTTGTACAATTTCCTTTGCTTGGCTATCAAGCCTACTTTTAGATACAGGCACCACACTTTGGTCTGGAGCTGGTAATACCACTGTGGAGTTCTGAGTAATTGCCATCTTGTCCTGTTCATCTGTGGTTACTGGTTTAATTGACAAGAATATAATTTAACTTTTCTGGTTTAACTCTGCTGTCCTTTGGCACAAATCTGGCAGGCTTTTTGCTCCTGATGAGTTTAATGACTGTAACATTTTCATTCCTGTTTATCACAACCTTTTAAAGTTTTGATAGTTCTGCATAACTTTTATGCTGTAATTGGTACTATTAACAGCAGAGGAACATTTTAATTTGTTTTAAAATTGAAACACTGTACTCTATAATCCAGTAATAGGAATATAGTTTTACTCTGTCTGTACAAGGAAGAGAATGCTACTGTTGAGTTCAGTGACACAGTCAGGAAAAATACTCCTCCCAGCTTACCTGATAGTTTAAGAGCACTAAATGGGATAAAGACCCATACTACTAATTAGGTTTCACATTACCAGACCTAACATGCCCCTAAACCTATGCAAGCTACACAGTTCACATTAAAATACATACATTCTAAAAATATTTGAAGTTTGCTTTACTTCATCACTTTTGGCAGCCTGCTGCATTTTGTCTTCCACCAATGGTCTAGATGGCAAAATTCCCACAAGTGTTTAGAGAAACAGAAAAGCCAACCAAATAATTCAGAGCTTTGTGGAACTGGATGTTGAATTGATAACTGAAAAATGCCCTTTTACATGTAGAACTAGGTGCTGTATTGCCCTCAGCCTGCCCATTCACAAAAGTCTGGAGAAGTTTTAATTCCATGGGGAAGCCTGCCCATTCACAAAAGTCTGGAGAAGTTTTAATTCCCTTCAGACAACAGTCATTTTCAATGTTAAACAAGAAATACTTGGAGATTGAGTGTGGAATAAGAAGTATTTATAGAAAGTATATAGTAAATATATGTCAACAAAAGCTACATTTCAGAGTATCAGTGTTGATTCCTCCACGAGTTGTAAACAAGAAATTAAGCCATGCTTGCATGATTCATAAATAAATGGTAACACTGTCCCTACAGTTTCCACCCTTGCTACAAGAGACACATTACAGAGTAAGCCAATTCTCTGCTTTCATTTAACAAATAAACTGTTTATATCCACCATCAGTCCCATTCCAAAGCTTAGGACAGAGCTCTGACAGCAGCACCAGTCTGAGCTGCGTTCACCCTGGTGACAAATACAATAAATATGACAGCAGGAACATGCCTGCTAAAAGGACCACATCTTAAAAAAGCCATGGCAGTCATTCCAGCAGCAGCCTATCGTCATTTCCAATAACAGCTACTCACCTGCCTCAGGACCACTCATTTGCACTGCTTGTAAAGTCAGGCAGGTCTGTGGAATGCAAAGCTTACAATATCAACTTAATACAGTTAATATCATAATACTAGTTTCCAAGTATAAATTTAAAAGTATCTTTTAACTATCACATTTCAGAGGAAAGAAGCTGGTGAGCATTTTAATGTGGAGACAAGTGTTTCCTGTCTTTGGTGTGACTCCTAGAGACACGCAGCAGCACACACATGAAACAGCTGCCGTGACACAAAAGGGTAATTTTTTTAACTTTGCCACTTTTCAGGAGAGCATTACCTAAATTCGAAAGCTTTTTACCCCAAAATGAAAATGCCTATAAATTGAGTTAAAAATCTACATTTCCTCTGCCTCCCCCATTTCTTTTGCCAGCCTTCATCTATTCATTAATTAGCCAGGGGTTATTTTCTAGCTTTATGATTTTCAAAGTAGCTTTAAAATTTTTCTGTCCTCTAATGGGATTGAATTTCTTTTGGCAGAGTCTTTGCAAAGAAGGAGAAGGGAGGGCAGAAAGGCAGCAAAGGAATAAATGCATATAAACCTCTCCAATTTTTGATATGTGTAAGGAATACACATCTGGTTCATCTTCAACATCTATGACATCCATCTGTTTTAAAATAATCAGTGGAAGATCTTCTGATAAAAGTGGGATTTTCATTATTTTAATTTTTCATCCTCTTTCAGTCCATACAATATTTCCTATGGTTATGACCTGCAGTGATGATCAGAAAGTTTTTTTCTTAGGACTGAGACTTCCCCACACTGTCTGTGACTCAGGGCAGGGAGGGCACCCAGAGCTCCCCCAGCCAGACGCTCAGCAGGACAAGGAAGACCTGACCTTTTCCTGGTAGTGTGAGCTTCATGAACTTTTCCCTGTGCTTGGGCTGCTGCCAAGTTGCCACACTCATTATTTATGCACTAGTTTGCCCACAGTAAGTTGCTGGCTTGGCTCAGCTCCGCTGACGTAAGGCGAACACAGGGAACGGCGTCATCTGCAAAAACAGAACAAGAGTCTGGAGGAGCTGAGAAAGGTTTGTACGCTTGGGACTTCAAAGTCTAAGAGGGTTTTTGATTTTGTACTGCACATGTGGAAGTCTTAAATGTAACGTGGTAAGTGTAAGTTCTTCGAGCGCTGCCTGGTAACGTTACTCTAAATAACCTGCAATCCGACTGGCTGGAAGGGAAAGTTATTCTTTTCAGGTGCACGCCTGTATAAAATACCTCTGGAGTGTGCATCCACCCACAGGAAACTTCCCGTGCCCTCTATCACATCAGGTACCCACACAGCTGCCCGGCTAACCTCGTCTGATGTGCCTTTGTGCTCCCTGCTAACTAACAACAGAAATACCTTTGTCTGAATTTTTGTATTTCAGGTCAGCTCTGTGAGCCAACACAATTCCAGCTCTCTGTTTCGTGCGGAGTGACGGTCACTGCAGTATTTGGGTGCGTTTACCTTGTAAATTCAAATATCACATAAATTTACAATAGTGATGTTCCTAACATTGACATTTCCTTTTTTTCCTAGCATTTGTGCAGTTGGTGTTTATTTTTTTAAATTTAGTTCATGGTAACATGAGAAAATTGCATGAGCTCTAAAGCAGACGTTAATGTATGGTACAAGTATGATTAAACCCAATCTTGCAAAGAACAGACTGCACTTGCAAAGAACAGACTGCACATGTGAGCAAATGAAATTGGCTTTTGCCCAAATATTTAAACTAACACAGACTACACTGAGCAACTCTGTGCTGAGATGAAACACATTTCAGCAGAGTTGTGTTTACAGCTGAAGACCCAGTGACATAGCACTGCTCAGTAACCTACTGTTTTTTGGCCACGTAACTGGATATTAAAAGCTCTTTCCAAGAAATTGATTTCAGCAGCTTAAGAGACACAAAGTTTATTCTTATAAGGGTCTGTTACCTTAAGGTTTATCATCATCTTACAATTTCCCTCTAAGTGTTACCTTGTTAATTTTATGTAATATTGTCAAATAGATACAGTTCTGTGAATTCTTCTTTCTTCCTTAGGTTCTGAAGAAATCAAATGTGATTTTCTAAGTTGTGTTCACAACAGCTTAAGACTATTAATGAAGTCAATACTGGTTTAAAAACTCTGAAAGAATTAGATAATAATTTCCCAACAAGACTAATTTGGAAAAGAACTGGCTGCTAACATTTAGAAAGAGCCAACATTTTCTAAGAGAACAGATTTTTCTTGCAACATTATCAAACCAAAATTATTTTAGAGATATATATTTTTTAGTAAAATATGGATCAGAAAAATGTCAAAATAGTGACAAACGCTGCTTTTTGTAATTTTATGAGCACAGCAGCAAAACAAACATATATTGCATAGAGAATGCAATAATGCAAACTGCTTATTTGCAAACAGCCTCTCAATATTCACTTGTGCCTGTAGCCTTCAGCAGTTTGTCATTTAAAATGGCAAATAAACCTGTGCATTATTAAGGCCTTGACACTAATATACTTGAATTCTTGAATTTATAAGACTAAAACTGTCCTGCAGTTTGCAGCTAAAAAAAGACTTACTTTTAACTCCTATGAAATATGTAATTGAATAATTATGGCAGTAGAATGAACATGCATATATATATATACACATATATACACAGTTATAAACCCCTTTCTGTTTAGCAAAAGCTACACCTCTACAAGATATTAGTATAGCAACCAGGAGCTCCAGCCAAAAACCAGAGCCCAGTGTGTCAGGTGACATACAAACATAGAGTGCATAGTGTTTATCCCCCCAAATCACCACTTAGGAGCTCAGGCAACTTAAGGACTTAATGACCACAACCAGCAGCAGGGTAACCACTGGTGTGGATTTTAGGCCTCCTGATTATTTTAATGAATTTAGTAAAACCAGCAAGGTTTCTTTATAAATATTTAAGCAGACTCACATTTTAGCGGAACTCAAAGAACAAAGTGAAGGAAAGCATAACAATTTTTATTTTGAAAATGTAACATGTCTAATCAAGTTAGAGCTCAGTCTGAATAAGTGATAAATAAGGTATACATATATATCAGGATCAGAGACAGAATTTTATTTGCTGCAGGTCCGTAATAGCTGATCAACAAATTTGTATTTATCAAGCATGCTTCCAAGCTGTTTTCTGGAATTCACTGCCACCCACAGCCAACTGAAATTTTGGCCTGCTGTAATAAGAACTTGCTTAAGCAAGGAAAAAAATACAGGAGGATCACTTTCTACCCAAACTGACAAATTAACAGTTTATTATTAAACAAGCCTTCTGGTTTTATACATAGTAGAGTACTGGACAAGGTAAAGTTTTCTCCTGCTTTTTAATTTCAGGATTGTTTTTTTCACTTAAATAGCACAAATCATTTTTGTAAGGCTACAAGAGCCTTACAAAAAACCCCACCAAAACAAACGCTTACCCCAAAACCTCCAAACATGAGAATGTATTGCTCTGCAGGTTTCAACATAAAATGTTCAGAAAACTGTGTCTTCAACCAAATGTCTTCTGGCTGTAGCCATCACCAGTTCTGACAGATTCTTCTCTTTTCATTATGTACCCTCCCAATTGCAGAAGTCTGAAAATATTTTTCACAGAGATTTCCCAAAGCATTAAAACATGAGCAGATTATATTCTAGCTTAAGGCATGAAAAGGAGACATTGCTCACATCCAGAAGCCTACTTTTTATTAAATGAAAAAAAACATTGCTGTTGGAAGGAGGCACACTGTGACATGTGGAAAGTGAACATGGATGCACTCCCTCATGTCAGGGAATGCAGTGACTGCACCATTAACTTCAGTCTCTTACCTACCTTTATCTTACCTCGAATCACACACCACAGGGGAAAGTCAGATCTTGTTACTAGCCAGATGGAGGCCCTCTGAAGAAAAAAAAAAGGTGCAGAAATCGATTTAAAGCTCTTTGAAACACTCCTTTCTCTTGCAGTACAAAATCACTGCCAAGATGGAACAAATGCAGTATCAGAGGAATTAGAACAGAAATCCTGTCCTTGGGAATAAACAGAGCAGGAATAAGGAATATATCAGGTATCAGTAGAATTGCAATGGTGTCAATATCATGTGCAAATTAAATCACTCACATAAGTCAGCAGTCACACAGCTCCTTAAAAAATACCTGCAGGCATTGCTAAACATCTTGGCCACTGCTAGAGATTTACCCCTTCCAGTGAGGATATGTCAAACAGCCTCCTGCAGTATGATGCAATCAAATGATACAACATTTGGCAGTGCCTGTGGCTGGAGAGAGCAAATATGCAGTCTCAAAAATGAGCAGAGTGAACAAACATTTTTATCATGGATAAAAACACAGCTCACTCCAGCCACCATGTTATGTGGGAAAGGTGAACATGTACAGCCTCTGGCCAAAGCCAGAAGTTATGAACTGTTTGCTCTTTACATATAGATAAGTTTGTGTATATATCTATTTCTGTATCTAATATAGATCTAACCTATATCTCTCCATCTAATTTTCAAACACTCACAGATATATGCATTTCTTTACTGAAGAAAACTCTAGTCAAGCAAAGCATTTCACTGACCTATGTCTCTCCAAGCAAATCTGTATTAGGTTCTGCTCTTGCTTTTATTGATGCTGACTGGTATCAATCAATTCCTTCTTAGATTAGGTGCTGCCCTGTACCCTGGGGATGCACAGAGAGAGTTATCCAAAACCCTTAAGGATTCAATCTTCTCACGGCAATGATTTCCTGACTGCCATCTGGGTATTCTGCAGTTCATTGCATTTCAGTGTAATTGGGTTAGCTGTTATGCAGGAAAAGACAGGGAAAAGAAGGCAATTCTATGCAAGGAGACAAAACCAAGAGCACTGACTGCAGCAAATGAAACAGTTTTATCTCTGGAATCATAAGTCCCAAATATTTTTGAAAATAGTAAATTACACAGATAAAGTCACAGACATTAAAAGACAGTTATCTTCCTTAGCTATTGCTCCAACTTATAAGAGTAGCTCAATTTTCAGGCTGACTGGAGGTATCAATTCAGTGACATAATTCTAAGCTTCTGCATAAATGATAAAATAAACACAATGATAAAAAATGATAAATGAGAGAGAAGAAAAATTCTGACAGCATTACTACATTCCCAGAAACAGCTCATATCACCCAGTGGAGATGTCCCATCTCATTCCATTTCTTCAATCCATCACTGAAAAAAACTCCAAAAGGCCACTAAAGGCCACCTAAACTACTCACTGTCTTTTTCCAGATATATTTCATATGAAGAGAGTGCCTGCAAGACTTTATAACATTATTTTTTCCCTTCTGTTTCAGCTCTCTTGCCATGATCTCTGCACAGCAGCCACCATTTCCCAACAAAATTCAAAGAACAATGGACTGCCAATCCGAGGAAGAAGAAACATGTGAAGAGCAGTGTGACTCTGAAAACTGCACTTGCAGCTCTGAGGACGCAGAATCTGAAAGAGGTTTAGTCCAATTTAAATACTGCAATTGCTATGGCATGCTAGCATGTCATACTTTGATTTTTGTCACTCTTCAAATAGCAGATATTATCATGCAACTTTTCGTTTGATATCAAATTTCCCCCATCATGTCCCCTTACGCTTGCATATATTATCAGATCAAATCTACAAGAAATACCCCTCTATCTCCATAATTAAGAAATATATTTTAAAAGGTCTCTTGATTTTATTTAGACATTTAAGAATTATTTCTCAGTTAAAATCTCTTACAAAAGAGATATGGTTATAATATGCATTAATTGGGCTGGCACTGTTGAAGCCATGTTATTACAGATTTTAACAGGCTAAACTGCTCCAACAGCTACTAAGGATTCCAGGCAGGCATCAGTTAAAATCCCTGCAATCCAGAGTGTATTTTCCCCTTGCAGTTAATTCTATGCATATCCTTGCAACAAAAGTTCCAGCCATTCAGAACAGTGTCCTTGTTTTCAGTGAGATCAGATGGAACAGCCTCAGCACAGATCTGAAAAACCTCAGCCATGAGCCTCCTTGCCATGATGAGACACTTGAGGACAACTGTAGCATTGCCTTGCTGAACTACATTGTGTATGCCAACATAAAAAGCATCGTGCAACCCTCCTTCTGTGGGAGGATGCTTAAAAAACACCCACTAAGAAAGAGTCAGGTGTTCTTCAATGTAGGATGTAGATCCTAATGTAAAAAGCAGCTTGCTGTTCTAGAGCTGCTGGCCTCACAAACGAAATCTTCAGCACAAACACCGAAATACAAGCTAACTTGGTCCTGAAAGTCTTCTAGCTATCATTAGTAGAGTTTTATATTTGAATTGGTAGGTTTTCCTAAAAGGCTCATTTCTATCTCTGAATTGCTCACGTGAATACCTAGAGTGGCAGGAAATGGCCATTGCTCCTTTCAGCCCCTGGCCACCCAGACTGTCTGGTTTTGGACAGCAACTAGTCTTCACTGAAGGGGTGGTCAGGCATTAGAACACGCTGCTCAGGGATCCCCACCCACAGAAGTGCTCAAAAGATCTGCAGATGTGGCATTTGGGGAGGTTTTAGCAATGAACATAATGCTGGTTTGGTTAATGCCTGGGTTTAATGATCTTCCAGATCTTTCCCAACCTTAACAATTCTATGATTCAAGACCAATGTCCTGAGAGCTCTTCTAGTCCATGTGCTCACACCCTGTTTTTGTAAAATACTTTTTACCTTTTAACAAGTTGCACATACACTCATGAAATTTCAACTTTTCTCTCACAGGCTCACCAGTAACTCTTAAAATACTGCAGAACTGGGTTCCTAGAGTTTCACACTACTTTGATAAGGAGCACTATACATATGTTGGCCACCAGATTGTCATTCAGGAGTCCATAGAACACTTTGGAGCTGTGGTATGGCCAGGGGTAAGTACACAAGACCACATGCAGAAAGCTCACGGGACACAAGAGCAATCCAGGACAGCAGCACACAAATATTAAGGAAGCTTTCTTAGATGACACTTCTGAAAATGGAAGTTTCCCTATGCAGAATGAAGTCCTTCAGCAGAAAGCTCTGCCTTAGGGTAATTTGCCAGTTCATGCCAAAAGGACTATGGTACCAAAGCATTTGTACATCAAAGGTAGGGATTGAAAAAAGAATTTAGTAAGGGAACTTAGGAAGAAACATTCAGCTTCCTCCATGCTTCCAACCAGTCACTGCTGGTAAGTAAGTAATCAGCAGTATTAAAAGGAGGCTGGAAATGAAAACTGTGAGAGATTGAATAAATAAAGGACGTTAACATTACTAAATATGCTTCTTTTAAAGAAAAGGCTAGAACAGTTTCATTACAGTATGGAAAATCATACTTGTAAGCAGTTCTTCAGTCTCTCCTATTCTTAGAAACAGAATTTTATGCAGACTAAGAAAACTGCCTTTGAGGGAAGAGAGAGTCAACTGATAAAGACAAGAAAATCAGGATTTCAAAATTGTTCAGATCCACATTTATTTAAAAAGCTCACAAGAAATGGCAGACAATTTCAAAACAATAGAGAGCATATGGGTGGGTGAAACAGGATCTTATTCTGAAATGTCAGATCATCAATTCGCACATTAATCAAGTGTCAGAATGCAGATGGTAAAACTCTCCAAGAAAATTGAGAGCTTGCACAAATTGGACTGGTGATTCATTAGCTGTCAGCTTTCCCAGAGCAGGTAGACAGTGTTGCATTATGAAAAGCACAAGAGTTAAAACAGTAACACAATTCTAAAGAAGAGAAGCAAAAGGGGGAAGACAGTTTCTTTGGCATCAGTTTATGTTGTTAATAAACAGCCCACTTATATTCTGCTGACAAAATCTTTACAAAGGCCTAATATTTTAATACAGTGCTGTTTTTGTTTTTTTCAAAGGTTACACTATTATGAATAAACAAGCGTCAAGTTTGTAAAATAACCAATTTTCATTATTTTCTTTGTTAAAAAAATTCAAAGAAAAAAATTTTTTCAAAAATCTCTGCTGAAGCCTAAAGTTACTGTATGATAGTGATAGTATAGCATAACATTTATAATAAACCAGAACATTACTTACATATTGTTAAACTTTGCTGCTCTGACTGTATGGTTCACATCTTAACACTGCCTATCCTTGTGGGTCCCTTCCAACTCAGCTTATTCTATGATTCTGTGTTGAGCTGTCAGAGGACTCATGTAGAACTGTGTAGTAAATCAGTATCACATAAACTTAAAACTAAAAATAAACTGCTTTAGTTTTTTTTAATAATAAAAAAATGGATACATCACAATTCTTCCCATCTTACATTTTTGTTACACACTTCAGTGTTTGTCATTACACTAAAAAAACACAACACCCTTGTATAAAAACATCTAATGAATTTTTGTGCAACTTAGCTCTTACCCTTTTATGGATATGTGTTAACCATTTTAGGCACTGGCTTTATCTCAGTATCTGGAAGCAAATCAAGAACAATTCAACCTCAAAGACAAAAAAGTTTTGGAAATTGGTGCTGGAACAGGCTTGCTTTCCATTGTGGCCTGTATCTTAGGTTGGTAAATTTGTATTTCCTTTTCAATTTCTAGTGAACGATGATCTAGTTCTGCCATTGTCACTTTAAGGCAATGAAACAACAGTCGAAGGAAACTTTGTCACTGTTTTTTTTTGTTGTTGTTGCCTTTTTAAATGAAAATCATTGTAAAATACTGTTTTGTTAACTAAATTACCCTAGTTATGGGGGAGGCTGGACCAGTTATGTAGATAAAGCTTCATACATGTTCAACTACATATCTATGAATTTTGCCCTGTCTCAAGTGAAAGGGTGAGAGGAAACAGCCCTAAGTTGTGCCAGGGAGTTCAGATTTTATATTAGAAACTTTTTTTTTTATTTTACAGAAAGGGTGGTTAGATACCCTTAGAATAAGTTGGCCAGGGAGGTGGTGGAGCCACTGTCTCTGGAAGTATCCAAAAAGCATCTGGATGTGGGACTTGGGGATATGGTTTAGGGGCAATTATGGTAGTGCTGGGTTCATGGTTGGACAGATGATCTTGAAGGTCTCTTCCAACCTTAGTGATTCTGTGAATTAATGAACTCATCTTTTCTTTAGGGGCTCATGTTACAGCTACTGATTTGCCTGAAGTTCTTGAAAATCTCTCATATAATATTTCAAGAAATACACAGAACTTGAATATGCACAAACCTGAAGTGAGAAAACTGGTATGGGGAGAAGGCCTCAATGAAGACTTCCCTGTATCAACTTACCATTATGATTTCATACTGGCAACTGATGTTGTGTACCATCATGGAGCTCTGGACCCCCTGCTAGCAACAATGGTGTACTTTTGTAAGCCAGGAACAGTATTACTATGGGCAAATAAATTCAGATTCAGTACAGACTATGAATTTTTGGAAAAAGTTTGCAATATATTTAACACAACCATTCTAGCAGAATTTCCAGAATCAAATGTCAAGCTACTTAAAGCCACAGTAAGAAAGAATTAAAGAGAAAACTACTACTGATCTTGATTTAGTGGCAGCACCTCAAAAATTGGAATGCTTTCCAAGATTATATTGCACCATCTGCGCATTTATGGTTGTAAAGTTGCAGTTCCATCTAAGTTTTGCATTGCAAGTAGAAAAAAACCCAGCAAGGCAAAAGATATAGCAGTTTGTCTCTGGTTGATAAATATGACCTGTTCAAACTGACCAATTCCCCTCCACTGAAGGAACAGTGTTAGTAAGAAGGTTTTAACAAAAAGCATTGATCTTCTGGGCTGCACTGAACCTCTGCTGTTTGTAAGCTGCTTTCTTTCAGCAAGCTTTATTTAGGTATTCATCCAGAAACCAATACAAATTTTAGCTTCAGTATTTTTATTCATTATAAAAATCTTTTAAAGTATCAGAGTGAACATGGTGGTATTTTGATCTTCAACTTTGCACATTTATTCTGCTGTGTTTTGTATTTTTAACATTAATAAACATCTACGTATAGCTTTACAAGATCTGATCAACATGTAACTGTCTGGCACTTTTATCCATGTATCAGCCTGTCCTGATACTCAGCTTCACCAGGATTTCTGAGTTTGCCTGAAATCACTCCAAAATGAAGAGTTTTGAAAATTTACAAGAGTACCTATGCATCAGCAATTCTGAGAAACATTGTAACCATTTGAGAGGTTGAATTTTTCTCAAAAACATTAAATGTAAACTCTTGCAAACAATACAGGTGTCCATTATTTTCATCTAATAAGTAAGATTTTAGCTACTCTTGAAGTAGCTTTAAGGCCTTCATACAATTGAAATTAAGATCAAACATGTTAAAATTCAGTGTACCATAAAAAATACACAACTTTTACAGGTTTGCAGTTCAAAGTAACAATTCAGAACGTAACATGCATGCAGTAATTCCTTCCAAACTAATTCCAAATCCTTGATGTTGGCAGTTCTGGCACATCCATTGCCAGCAATGGGATGCACAATAAGGAGACTCCCTGATGACAGGAGTTAGGTTAACAGGTATTAAGCCATACCCAGGTGCCCTTACTGATAAATACACACAATTTAATAATCAGCATTCAGTAATGAAAACATGCGTTTGAATAAAAAGTCAAACTTCTCTTTTCCTATCCTGTCCCATATAAAATCAATTTAATTTTACAATTGTTGATTCTCTAGAATACACAATAATCAGGTGGATACATGACAGGAAGCCAATTTGCAGTGAAAGTTGCACAATGAGTCCATCCAAGCAACTTCATTAGCTGAAGAAAAAAAGCATACATTAAAAAAAATGAGTCTTACTCTTTTTAACATCTAAATCTAAACAAACACTGCACTGATATCAACACTTATCATCAGAAAGACAACAGATTGGAGATCTGGTAAGTTTTGACTTCCTCAGTCCTGAAAAGGGGACTCCTCCTCCCCCTTCTATATGATCCACATTCTTTCAATATAATGCACAAGAATTTAATCTTAGAAATTCCCATTAATTCTCCACTAAGTTCTACAAGCAGTAATTACGATTAATAATAGTAAAAAAACACCCAGTGGTAAAACAGCAACATAAGGGGATTTTTATGCAGATATCTTGGACTAAGTTGTCTCTACTTCTTTTATGCCCCAAAGTAAGTTCCAAAAAGTAAATCTGTTAAAAACAACAGTTACTCACAAACAAGCTATTCTAGAACAAGGAAGGAAAAAAAAAAATCACTGTTTCAAATGAAAGCTGAGTTACAAAACCTGGATAAAGTTAAGATATTACATTTAGTGCTTTCTAAAATGAGAAGAGTACAAACAATTCCAGAAGACTTGTATCTTACTTCTGAAAGCTTACGCAGCATGAACGCAGCCCCATTACTTGGCCAAACACTCCTTACCTGAATGCAGTTTTTTAAGTTGTCCTTTGTTGGCTTTTCTTCTGCCAGTTTTGTGGCAAACTTGAGCCCTCTTCCATACATTTTATTTACCAATGCATGCTTATAGGCAAAAGTCAAAACCTACAATACAAATGAAAAAAAACAAAGCAAATTAGGTATTTTAATATCTTACGAGGTTTAACAAGTGAGATCAAATTCTGTTCAGGTAGCAGAAGTGATTCTAATCAAAACGTTTACACGACATATTTGCAGTGTAACAGATGATCCGCAGTAGTAATCATAAACATGAACTTCCTAGAGACTATTTCTGACTTCACAAACATATTTGACTTTGTAACTTGTGTAACACAGATGTCACTATTTTAATTTTTTGTCACATTTCTAGCTTCTTTGGATTTTCATTCTCTACAGGCAACTGTAAGGCATATTAAAAAGACAATTAAAACATCAACCAGGCAGGTATATTTTTGACTCAGAGAAGCAAAAACCCAATTGAGAATTTTAATTCCTAGGTAGTCACAAACTTACTGCAGAAACAAGTATGAATGTACACAGTGAATGATATAAACAGACAAAGACAGAGAAATGTAAATAATTATAAACAAGCAATGAAGACACATAAGTATGAAGACAAGCCTCAGGTTTTAGGTCAGCTCCTCACTATTGGTAACTTTTTAAGAAGAGATGATAAAAAAGCTCCTTCTTGATAATATTATTTCTAAAAAGGCAACTTACAGTCCTTACCAATGCAGTAGTTCATGTGAGCAAATGAATGTGTCTACGTAAGACCTAATGAAAAATAATTTCACGTTCTTAACACCCGACCACTGACAGCATTCAGGGTGTCGCAACAGGGTTCAAACCATCTCACCAGTTGCAGCACTAAGAATTAGAGCAATCAAGACACTTTCATATATTCCCTTTGGAACACTCACAGTAAAGAAGATATTTTTTATTTTTTACTGAAGAGTGACATAGCAGTAAAGTTAGTGAATATGATGGTGTGTCTGTTGTTGGCAGTGTTCATGGAATCTTTTATTAGAGCTTGCTATTCATTTCCCCTCATTCACTACAACATTTTTCCTTTGCTCTGACTCCACAATAAAGGCTGAAGATTTCCCACATAAAATATCCCATTAAGAAAAGCTAACAGAAACCCTTCAAGGATGTCAAGAAACATGTTTTGCATTACAGAAAAAAAATTAAATATGTCTCTAGAATATAAACACTAAGGAACCAGAGATCTGAATCTTACAAGGAGTGAAGAACCTATCTAGTTTTAGCAGCCTGAGTACTTCCACTTAATAACATGCACAAGTCTTTGCAGGATCAATAAATAGTTAAAATATAAAAAAGAAATAAACTTAATTATCAAGCAAGTCAAGGTGTAATTTTAAAGCTTCAAGATACTATGCCAAAGTATTCAAGAGTTGCTCATTCTTCTTCTGTCTTCAAATACTTATTTTGCTGTCTTGAAATATTCACTTAAGCTGTTGTAGCTTATAACACACACACACATATATGCAACGATGAGCATACAGCACCATTGACATATACAATTTTCCAAATATTGCTATTGGAAAAATAATCTGCATGCTGCATTCTCAATCCAATTATTTTGGATAGTTTCCTAAAGCAAAACACATTAGCAAACATTTCTGAATAACTGCTCAGTGGATCTATTAGCAGACTTAGTTGGCTAAACTAAACTTAAAAAAAAATTCTCTTCTGTAAAAGATGATAGAACCACAAAAAAAAAAAAAAAAAAAAACCCACAAAAAAAACCAAACAAACAAACAAAAAAAAAACCCAAAAAAATCAAATGAAAAATGCATTGGAGCTCTCAGCAAATACAACATTTCTGAGGCTAACCAGAAATAATGTCACTGCTCTATGAAGAAAGCTCTTACCTGACCCTGTAAGTTTTGAATGGTTATTGAACATCAGTGATAAAGGCAGGAGGAAAGCCACTTGACAGCATTTCTTTCGTAACAGGGCTTCCTAGAGTTTTTGTGGCAAGAAAACAAAGCATTTTACGAAATACCCTTGCTCTGGCCAAATACAAGGTTGGGTATTTCTAAAGGAGAAAAAGGTTCTTTGCTGAACCAAAAGGTTTAAAGCAATGCTCCAAGAGCTCCTGACATAAGACAGTCATTTCTGTCTTAGTGTTCGGGAAAAAAAAACCCAATCAACTGCATACAAGTTCAGCAAAACTACTAAAAATTCATTAGTACTTCAGAAGTTATGAACAATGCATAAGTTGCTTTAAAATCAGAATTTGTTTACAAACAAAAGATGTTAGATAAGAAATAATACTTTACAACTTGTACATATATTGGCCAAATTAAGCCTTATAGATAAAATACTGCAAGCTTTATAAGATCACAGAAGTAAAGGTTAGGATTCCTTGATATGTGTAAGGAAAATGTAAACTAGAGTGCTATTAAGATATAATAGAGAAAACAGCTGCTATCTGAATGAATAAAACCATCAAATAAACCTATTTGTAGTATCCATAACCAAACTGTTAGATGAAAGAATAGTAATGACTTCAAAGTATTTGATATTACTTCAGAACTATATAATGGAATAATAAATTATATAATAAATATAATGAAGGCCAGCTTTCGCACAAAAGCAATTTGGGCCAGAAATTGTACAAAGAACAATAAAAGGGCATTGAGAAAAGGCAACGCATACTTCTAGGATACTGGGGGAAAAAAATCACTGTTAAGATACTTTATTCCCCAAGCTAACGGCCTGGAATACTACGTGTGTTAGGAGCCAGATCCATGAAAGTGTTTGGATGTTCACCTCCTAACAGCCATTGGCTATAAAGATGTGTATTTAGGACAGTAAAATCCTGAAATGATCTTTCTGAAGACATTTTTGGGGCTGAAGACACTCTCAAATAAAGTATGTTTGAATCCAGCAATACTAAAATGCCTAGTGAAACTTTTCTAATATCCTAATGTTGTTACTCTATGGAAACAGACTTGTATCATCAATTAATTAATCATTTAAAGAGCTGATGAAAATATACCTACATTTACCTATAGTTAAAATACTAGGTTAAACAATACCATTTCTAGGTAATATATTCCAGCCATTTATAGGAACACTGAAATTGT